TAAATTTGTAGAGGGTGCTTCTTTAGCCTTTCTCTTAGATAAATTTGTAGAGGGTGCTTTTTCCTCTTGAGCAGGAATTGATCCTGGTAAAGAATCTGTTTTCTCTTCAACTTCAAGTTTGGATTCTGGTAAAGGATCTGTTTTCTCTTCGACTTCAAGTTTGGATTCTGGTAAAGGATCTGTTTTCTCTTTAACTTCATTCAATTTTCGATAATCAATTACTACTCTCCATTTCTTCTCTCCAGAAGCATCAGATTTTTTTGGAACAACCCATAATGGAGACGACCAAGGAGAATTGGAAGGTCTTATAATGTTTTGTTTCAGCGTATCGGTCACCTGTTTGTTAACCTCTCTTTTGTGTATTTCAGGATATCTGTAAGTTTTAGTATAAATAGGATTTTCATTAATAGTATTGATTTTATGCTCAATTGCCTCTGTCGAACTTAAATAATCTCCGGGTAAGTGGAAAATATCGGAATAAGATTCACAAATTTTAACTGTTGATGTTTTTTCTTCTTCATTAAGATGCTCTAACCTCAAATGGTTACTTATTATTGATTTCCTTTTATGTCGTGGTTCTAGACTTTTTATTTGGAAACGCTGTTTTGAAGCTTTCTCAAGGCGAACTGTGATTGGTTCAATTGTTTCATCAGTCGTTCTTGTATTCAAAATGGTGGCGTAAGCCTCGTTGTTATTGTTTACTTTAACGATGGCACGTGACAAATAGACGCCTTCCATAATTTTTGTGTTATCTTCACAGTGGATACATGTTGATTTTTGTCTGCGATTAATCAATTCTTTTATCAGTTGACTATGGGGTTTCTTGTCTTGATATAATTCTATTAGTTTTTTTTTTACATCATCCCAATTATCCAAATCGTACAAAGAAATTCGATTCTTGGCATTACCAGTGATTCTGGAGTAGATGAATCTGAAGAGTGGATACTTATTCTCTTCAGAGGACAATTCGATAGCATTATCACAATCTTCAATAAATGCGTTAAGTTGGTTCCTTTCTCCGGAAAAGAAATTAGGAACTAGACTACACAAGAAATCAAGGGGTATTTGGGATGGGTTGAAAACAGGTTGATCAAGTTTAGGCATTGTTCACAAAATGAGTTACCTATTAACTACTACTTACAGTATAAAGAAATTCTGATAAAGAGTTAAAACCCACCAACATGAAACGAATTACTTAAGAATTCTCCGGTTTCTTGTCGTTCAGAATGATCCTTCATCGACTGCGCCAAAATTTTAAATATGTTATATTCGGTTCGTTCTTTATTTGTAAGTAATGAACAAGCACTTAAAACTATCACAAAACTAATATTAATAAACAAGAACTTATTACAGCTAGACTAAAAATCAAATGAACCAACGCCAAGCTGTGTAGCTTGCCTATATTACTTTGGTCTTTCGTCAGTCAACTGTTTCGAATGTTCGAGCAAACACTTGCAAATAAAATAAAAGAAGGAGTCTTTAGAAGCTTCGCTTCTAAAGAAGAACAATTTGAGTTCGTCGCCAGTCTTTTGTTTATAAAAATTTGAAAATGTGAATATTGAGTACGGGATCATAACAATATTTATTATCTTTTGAGAAAAGGCGGTGGTTGTTGTTGTTGTTGTTGTTTGTCATCATTTCGAATCGAATCGAGTTGAATTTTTATTGGCATCGTTCCTTTCGTCCGACGTCAGAATAATCGTTTGTTTCTTTTGTCCGCCATTAATGATTTACCGCCAATGCGGTGGTGAAAAAAAATTCTTGTGACATCCGTATCCGTTTTAATTATTTAAATAAAAATCGGAGCCGTGTGGTAACGGAATCAATCAACGGTTGGCGAATCGGTTGACATTCTTCGCGAAATGGAAATCATAATAATTTACGAATTGTGGTTTCCGGTTGATATCATCTCAGGTTATCGGTCAAATGCATTAAAACAATTTTTTTTTTTTTTTTTTTTTTTGCGGGTGCGAATGAGAAAAATGACGTAGTTTCCTTTCCCGACAATTCGTATCGATCGCCGGAAACGTTTCTTACTTTTTATTACCTTTTCCGGTTTATATTTGGCATTTAATTTTTTTTTTTTTTTAATATTTAATCTCTATTAATTAATTATTAATTTGTTTTTATTTATGATTTTCTTGTTAGGGTTTACGATTTTTTTGTTTTCTTCTTCGTAATTAATTTTTTTTTTTAATTGTGGGAAATGGGAAAATTTTTTTAAAAAATAATTCGTTTGTGATTCGATTTCTTTTATTTATTTATGGAAATTTAATTTTGGAATGTGGTGGTAGTGGTGGCAGTGGTGGCGGTGATAATGATTTTCCTTGGGAAAAAATACCACATTTATTTAGTGACCAGAAAAAACAATCAATCCATCGCGCATACATTAAAATACATGGAATAGTAGTAGTAGTAGTGCGTTGTAGTGTGCGGTTTGAATTCTTTTGTCAAAAGTTATATGAATGAGGGTTTTCTTCAATGGCCAATTTTAATCGAACCGTGACTCATTCATTCTCTTACTCTAACATTTTTGCCAGAAAATGTTTTTTTTTTTTTTGGCCATTTCGCTCGACCCTATTGATTGATTTTAAGTTATTTCCAACTTTGTTTGTTAAAAGAAAGACGAAAACGGTAAAATTTATATTTATCGTCGTATTTTTTTTATTATGCCGATTCATTTGCCTGGTGCCAACGATCTTGGGTTTGCGAAAAATTTCAGGTGCAAGTGCCTCGGATAAACATTATACGGGCACTTGTTGTACGATTCGAAAATTAGTTTGAATTGATTTTATAAGAAAATTATTTTTGTTTTATTCGCTTCTTTTTTTTTGAGAGAGAGAGAGAGAGAGAGCGAGAGAAAGAGAGAGAGAGGGATTCCAAAACGAGAAGAAAATTTTAAAGGAAAATGACGTTATATAAATAATTGATCGAAAAACAGAAAATTTTCCGCGCGTGAGTAATGGCGCCATCTATTTCGTTTCAAACGTACTAAAGATCGTATTGTAGTTTTAACGATTTCCCGGCGGTGGCGGCACTTTACAAAATGTTATTTCCGTTATTATTATTTTATTCCAAATTTTCTTTTTTCCGAGTTCGTCATTCGTTTTATGAAAAATTTATCATTATTATTATTATTATTATTTAATTTTCACCGTTTCAATTTTTAAAAAGAAAATTTTTTTAAACGGTTCATAAAAAAACAACGTATTTTACGTCATCGGTATTCTTTCCCCGTTAAAATCCCCCACGAATGGTGGGGAGGAGATCAAATTGTATTATATGACAAACTTTAAAATGAAATCCTCACAAAAAACGTCTCTAAGGTTGGTGTCAAAGGCAAAAAAAAAAAAAAAAGAAAAAATTCCCGAAGGAGAGCGAAAAAAATAAAAATCAAATAATTGAATGTGAAAACGAGCTTTTGTTCGTTTGTTTGTTTGTAGTTTTAAAATTTTTTTTTTTTTTTTTTGTAACGAAAACATAACGTTTCGAAATCATCATGTACGTACAATTTCTCACATGCATGCTCTTACGTTTTATTTTTTGCTTTATTACCGAATGAAAAAAAATAAGGATATTTCGTAAACATGCGATATGGAGCCCTGGGAAACTTTTACTCTCTCTCTCTCTTTCTCTCTCTCTCTCTCTCATCTCTCCTTTTTCGATTTATCTTACATTTTAAGATTAGATAAGAACGGGAATAAAATAACAGTCGCGCTTTCGGAGGAGTCGAAACCTTTGAGAAAATAAAAAAAAAAATCGAATTTATTCCAACAGGAATTTTTTTTCTTCCTTCAAACGGGAGGAGGAGGAGGGGAGTGGGAGGCGGTGAGGCGGGTCAAACCACGTGAAAATAATTATAATAATTCGTTCTAGAATTTTCTTCCCCTTTACCATGTTTTTATACTCTTGATCTTCGATTCAATGCAAAAAAAAAATTCGATATGGGATGGGGTTTGAAATGACGTCATCGTTTGATTTTATTTATTTATGTATTTATTAATTAATTATTTATTTATTTATTTATTTATTAATACAAAATTTTTTTTTATTTTTTACAATAGTATTATGTACACATATAAACGTTTTTTTTTTTAAATTTAACTTAAACGTAAAAATTATTCGTTTGTTCGTTATCATTATTATCATTATCGTTATTGTTATCATTATTATTATTATTATTATTATTTACAAATTTTGTTTCGTTTTTTTTAAATGTGTTTCAAAGCCAAGCTTTCGTTTAATAAATTATTTATTTTCTTTAAATTAATAGTAACAAAAAAAAACTTTGGAATAGATTTGTTTCGTTTTAAAATTGTACTCATACTGACTGGGTGATATATATATTTATATTATATATAATTCCTTAGTGACGTAAATATTATATAATAAAGCTCTTATTGGTTATATTATTATTATTATTATTATTATTCGTTTACAAGGTTTTGTAGGGGGTAATGCGCGTACTTTTCACGCGACGCGAATTGTCTTTACGTTATTATTTACTCATTTAATTTAACATTTACACGATTTGTTTTTTTTTTTTTTTTCCCCCGGTGTCGTTTTGGAATTTTTTGTCGTCGTGGCAGAATCTTCTTTGACTACTGTTCCACTATTGACACGTTTTTTATTCGTAATTTCTTTTTACGAGAAGCATCATCGCGTTATTTGTTAAAATCTGAACACGAGAATGTTTCATTATTTTTTATGCATAAGTAAAATTCCATCGGTTGCAAAAAGTCAAAGAACAAACACCAAAAACAACCACAACAACAACGACAACTTGGGCAAAATGTCTTTTTTCATCATTTATTTATTAAAACTTTTTTTTTTTTTTTTTTTTTTTTTTTTAAATTAATCGAATTAATAAAAAAAAAAAAAAAAAAAAAAGATACACGATTTCGATTTTAGCGGTTGTTTTGAAAGCATATTTAAAAGCATTTTTTTTAAACGTGTTTATTTATATATAATCGTCGTTAATGGCGACGTAAATTTTTATTTTAACTGAGTATTGGCATGCAGTATCCGCTGTAGGTACGAATGGCTTCTTCCACGTATGATTTCCCGGTTAAAACTCCCGGATCCGTGTGATGTTTCGGACACCTGTGAGCGTGAGAACACTGACACAAAGTGTTCGTGTTGACTTCTTCGAGTCTTTCTTGTCTTTTTCTCACGGTGAAAAGTCTGCAAGGTTCTTTTCTTTGACACCTTAATCTCTGAGAAGAAGAAAAAAAAAAATGTTGGAGTACGGTTTTTTTTAAAAAATGAATGAGTCCGATAAAAAAACTTACACTTTGTGGTGAACACGCAAAAGAGTATTTGTAACCGATTCCAGAATTGACTTGGAATGCTTGTCTTTTGATTAGATACGCCACTGATCCTCTCGGACAATGACAGTGTACTATTTGTTCGGTAATGTTATCAGCGTTGCTGATGAGAGACCACGTCATGTCTCTGAAAAATCTACATTTTGGTAGTTTTTTAACCGGTTCGCAAAGCTGTTTAACAAACAAAAAACAAAAACAAACGATTAAACAAACGTTGTTATTAGCCCTTCCTTAAAAAAAACAAGGAGAGGAAGGGGGGGAGCTTTTGGTTAATAAATTGAAAACCGCGGAGCACACAAGGACTACCACCACGTGTACACGTAATCACGATCACCTTAATTTGCACTATCATTTTTGTTAACTCCCGCTCTATTAGGCTATCTCTCTCACTCTCTCTCTCTCTCTCTCTCTCTCTCTCTCTCTCTCTCTCTCTCTCTCTCTCTCTCTCTCTCTCTCTCACACTCTATACATTTATTGACCTTCGCATAGTGGGTTACGTTTCCGAGAATGGATTTATTGGGATTGATCTCGAAAATTCATCATGCAAAGTTGGAAAACGTCAGGTATCCTTACCTTGAATTGCCTTGTTTTATCGGTGAGAGTGTGTCCATCGTGAGGACTTAATCCCGAGGGACACGAATGCGATCCCGGACATCTGCATTGCCTTTCTATCCACGGTTGTTGATAGAGATCTACTTTACTACAAACTGCCCACGGACTGCAAATGGGCAAGTCTTCTTCGGAATTCTGCACAAAAAAAAAAAAAAAAAAAAAAAAATTCGATCGATAAGTAATAATAATAATAATAATTATGTACGTAATAAATAGAAATATTATTTAGCGTAAACATTTTTGTTGTTGTTGTTGTTGTTATCGACTAATATTAATTATTTTTATTTTTATTTTTTTCTTGATGACCTTAACACGCATTCCACTAATGGATATTTAATTCATTCATTCATTCATTCATTCATTCATTTTTTTGTGTGCGTTTTCTTTTTGCGTATTTGTTTGTACGTTACAATAAAAAGAGCGAAAAAGGTTTCGATCAATCACAAAAAAAAAAAAAAAAAAAAAAAAAATTGTACAACAAAGATGGCCCCTCGAGTGTAAATTTGTTTTTCTCTCTCTCTCTCTCTCTCTCTCTTTTCGATATGGAAGGAAGATTTCAAGGTGTGTAAAAAAATCGTTTAATAATAATAATAATAATAATAATAATGATGATGATGATAATGATGATGTTGTTGATAATAACAGGTCAGGTTGACGTAAACATAAGTAAGGTGTATATGGTAGGTAGTGGAAAATTATAAATAGGTTTTTCCAAGAATGACTGCAAATATTATTATTATCATTATTATTATCATTATTATTATTAAATACGAAAGCAGCCGATATATATATATATGTATATGAAAAAAAATAAATATGTCAAAAACGTTGCGTCGTTTCTTGGAACTGGAGAAACCAAAAAAAAAAAAAAAAAAAAAACGAGAGGGAGGAAGACATTTAAATCGTGTTGTTGTTGTTGTTGTTTGTAGTTATCATTAAAATGTTTAATGACCACGTGAAATTTTTTTTTTTTTAATAAATCCAAATATAAAATAATAATAATAATAATAATAATAATAATAATTATTATTATTATTATTATTTTATCGTTCGTCGCCCCCGCGGAAGTTTTCTTATTTGATTTTTTTTTTTTTTTTTCCAAAAAGAAGATTTTTTTTTTTTTTTTTTGGAAAGCATGAATAACACTTTCGCCCGAAACTTTTTAATTTTTTTTTTGTTGTTGTTTTGTTTGAAAATAATAATAATAATAATAATGATAATGATAACACATCCGGAGGGGGATTTCCTATTTCGGTTAATTTTCGTTCGAATTCGATTTTTATAAGATTGTTTTTTTTTCTTTCTTTCTTTTTTTTTTTTTTTCTTCGGCTTCTGTCATCCGGATTATCGAGCCACCGGTAGTGTGTCCGTTTTATTATTATTATTTTTTTTTTTTTTTTTTTTACGTAATCATAAGATGATTCATTAATTGTATTTTTTTATTATGGTGTTTATTATTTTTTTTACAGTTTTTTTGTTAAAAAAAAATGTTTAGCGCGTTTTCATTCATTGAAAACTCTGTGCCTCCGGGCACAATCAGGAGTTGCGTTTTTTTTTTTTTTTTTCGTTTTTCTCTCTTTATTTAAAAAAATTTCTTTTTTTTGTTGTTGTTGTGTTTGTTGTTTGTTGTTGTTGTTGTTGTTGCTCTTCTTCTTCTTATTTGTATAATTTTATTAAGTTTAAATATTTGTTATGTCGTGTATTCATTTTGGAAATCGTCATCGGGGTTCGATTATCGTTTAGAAAAACATCGTAACGTTTTCAATCGTGGCTTTTACTATTATTATTATTATCTTTGACGTGGAATTAGCGATTTGAAGTTAAAATTTAATTTAACAGAAAGAAATTCAAGGTTTGAAATTTTATCCCTTCCTGGTGAAATGTAAATCAGTTATAAATATTTGTCCCAATTTTTTTTTATTTTTTTTTCTTTCCCTTCCCCCTTAAATTTGTTTGTTTGTTTGTTCGTTCGTTTCTTTTTCGGGAGACCTGTTACGTATTGAGAGAGAGAGAGAGAGAGAAAAAAAAAGGTTTCCCAACTTTTGCTTTTTATTTTTTTATTTATTTTTGGTTGTAACACCTACAGTAAGATGATTGTAGGTCAATGTGTTTCAACTTTTTGGGTTGGTAGGCGTGGCACACCGAAATTATTCTAATAAGGCGAGTTTAAGCTTCTTTTTCTTACTGAAACTATTTTTTTCTACGTATAGAGTCAGTTTAGTTTGTCTCATCAAGGCTTTTTCAGTGTTTAGATTCTTGCAAAACATGATAAAAAAAGAAAAAACGAAAAAAAAAAAAAAAACAACGTGGTTCGTGGTTCATCCTCTTCCTCCTCCTCCTCCACGAAATTAATTTTTAAAAAATAATTTTTTTCCTGTTTGTGTTTCGTCTATTAGAATTTTTACAAAGCAAAAAAAAAAAAAAAAAATGGCGTGGTGAAAACGGAAATTTCAAACAACAATTACGCATGCGTAAAAAAAGTGACGCGTTAAAGACCGAAAAGAATTAAATTTTTTAAATACACGAAACAAACGAAACAAACGTTTCGTTTGTTCCTTCCAAGAAACAGGGATTTATAAAACACGAAAACAGGATTTGTTTTTTTTTGCTTTTGTTGCCTTACGTGTAAAATTAATTTTAATTAAAAAATAATGATGATGATGATGATGATAATGATGATAATAATGATAATGATGAATGCGAAAATTATAAGGAAAAAAAAGGTCGAAATCGATTCGCGATTTGATATCATCACTTAATTATTATTATTATTATTATATTAATCGATGTATTATTATAATTTTAAACGATGATAATAATAATAATAATAATGAAAGGAAAGCAAGCCTTGGTTGTCGTGTTTGTTGTTCTGAAGTTTCTTTTTAGGAAAAGTGGGTCTCTCTCTCTCACAAACTCCAAAAAAAAAAAAAAAAAAATTACAAAATTTTATGAATGTGGGTGATGTTTAGTATTTTTATGAGGAGGAGGAGGAGGAGGAGTAGGAGTAGGAGGCCGTTATATAAAAAAAAATAATATAATTCGTTTCTTTTATTTATTTTTGGTAAAATTTAATAATAATAATAATAATCCTAGGCCGTGAGATTAAGGTGCAGGTGTCGCAAAGTCAATCAATCATCGTTCCCGACTAGTTTTTTTTTCGTTTTTTTTTCGTTTTTTTTTTTTTTTTTTCGAATGGGGGGATACGTGGGGGTTGTCGAGATACACTACAACACAACACACAACACATCCTTTTAAAGATGTTACGTAAAAAAAAAAATTTTTATTTTGGCGGGTTTCATTGATTGCGTCACGTCGATTTTTCAATTTAAAAAAATTTTTATAATGTGTATTTGAAACGTCGTTTAGGTTACGTCGTTTGTTTGTTTGTTTATTTATTTGTTATTATTATTATTATTATTATTTTTAATTTTTTCACTGTCAGATTATATCGAACAAACAGTATTATTTTAGTTACTGGGCGTAACGAGATTCAGCAGCGGTTTTTTTTTTTTTTTTTTTTTTTCAATTAATAATTCCTCGAGTCGAATTCACTGGTAGTAGTAGGAGTCACACCTTAATGTTGGAATCAAATAGGCGTGTAAAAGAGTCTTGCATGAAATCCGTATAATAAATTTTTTTATAATTGGAATTATTTAAATTTCGAAACGGATTTTTTTTTTTTTTAAATTAAAAAAATTCTCCACCGGGTTTTTTCTCTCTCTCTCTCTCTCTCTCTCTCTCTCTCTCTCTCTCTCTCACTCGCTCTCTTTCTCTTTTTTTTTTCTATTTACGACAGGAATTAATGTTTAACTTGCCAGGTAGTTCTTCTACCTTTAACGTATTTCTTTCGGTTAAAAAATTTTTTTTTTAATAATAATAATAATAATAGTAAGTTCCAAACCCGAAATTTCCGTCGTCTGCTGCTAGTAGTAACTTCCGGAAAAATTCGAGGAGTCATTCATTCATCTTTTCTTGTCACAAATTCGAATTTCGAAAATCTTCGTTTAATTTTAATGTTTATTTTACGGGTAAATGGCGTCGTTTTTATTTTATTTTAATTCGCGCACGCACTCACGCACTCAATCAGATTGAATAAGTTAGTATCGGAAAATGGCGACCGTTACGAAAAGTAATTTTTTTTTTTTATTCGTTGTTAAATATATATATATTAACAAAACAACATTTTCAAAATTATGAATGAAACAAAAAAAAAAAAAACAAAAAAATTAATCGAATAATTAAAAAAAAAAAAGAAAAAAAAAAAAAAAGAAAGAAAGAAATCGTATGAAATAACGGATGAATGAATGAATGAATGAATGAAAAAAAATCAATCGACGAATAAATGAATGAATAACGAGTGCGTAAAAAACAATTTTTTTTTTTTTTTCGCAGATAAAAATGAAAGCAAATCTTGTTGTTGTTGTTGTTGTTGTTGTTGTGAGAAAAATTTTGTTGCATAAACGGTCGTCGTCGTCGTCGACGTCGACGACTTGTTTTATACAATTTTTGTAATTCATGAGTTTTCAAATTCTTTTATTATGTTGTTATTTTGCGGAAAATTATTACCGTTATATTTTTCCCTCCCCCCCCCGTTTTTGATAATAAGGGGTGAAAAGGGTGAAAGTTGAAGGTTGAAGGGTAAGGATCGATTTTGTATCATTTTTAGTTTAAAAATTATTTTTGAAAACAATAATTTGGGGAGTGTTTGTACCTCTCCATTTTTCATCGAAAAGAGTTTCAAAGTGTGTTTAATTATTTATTGTATAAGTTGTTAAAATTTTTCGTGAACTTTGACCCTACGCGTGTAAGAAGTAGATGAGAACTACTACTAATTGCAATTTTTTTTTTTTTTTTGAGTTTATGTCATTAGGGAAAGGGAGAAACGGAGATGGGGGGAGGGAAAGTTATTAAAACAAAAAACGTTCGGGTTGGTTAGTTTTTTTATATCATCATCATCATCATTATTTTTTTTTTTTTACGCTTAAAAAAATCAATAATAATAATAATTTTGTTTTTGTCACCAAAAAAAAAAAAATAACACGCGACCGCAAAACTTTCAACGGGGAGTCAAAAAAAAAAAAAAAAAAAAAAAGTTGATTTACAATTAACACACGCACAAACAAACAAATAATAATAATAATAATAATTCCAGGAAAACCTTATTAAAAAAAAAGAAGTAAAAAAATTAATGATCACATTTTACTGGAAAAAAAAATAGTAAGAAGAAGAAAACAATATAAAAGAATTTAAGAAGAAAAAAAAAAAAGTAATCGGAGTTTTTACGCGGTCTCGTAAATAAAAAAAAAAAAAAAATTTTT